GGAGATAGTTTGCTCTTCCCGACTGCATGCCTCCATGACAAAATACAGCCGTCTGAAGAAAGTGTGGAGCTTGTCCAACAGAACATCGCTGAAGGCACTTCCTAATGCAAGTTGAGGGCAATCTATCTTTCTTGGCCAAATTGAAAACCACCGCAAAAATATCAATCCCCATAAAAGTCAGCCTTTCTGAGAAGAATCAATCCTTTGCTTGTGTTACCACGAATCAGCCATTCCACAGATTTCACTAAGAAAGCTGCCTGCAAATCGCTTTGCAGAGGTGCCGCTACATGATTCTCAAAGGACAGGGACTGAAAACAGCTGGCCCTGGTCATGGCACAGAGTTCAGCACCTTTTCCCCCCTCCCCCTAAACGTGCTATGGGGCCCATCTTTGATTTATTGGCTCATTTAATATTACATACTGAAAGCTTACAGTCCCCATAGCAACTGCAGACCAAATAAGACAAGTCCCTCCTTTAGCAGCTCATAAATTTGCGGAGGAGACAGACCCATACACGGCTACTGTAACACAGCGTGACGGGAGCGATTACTCTTAACTGGTCCGACTAAGCCTTGTTCATTAACTCATCTATCAGACTTATTGCACCGGGCTCTGGGCTCACCTATGGGGTTACAGGAACATGCATGAGGTGTTCTAAGCAGCGTGGGGAACTCACGCCTCACATGGGACCAGTCAGACTGCCCACCCCACTGCGATCTATGAATATTTTATTAGGAAGGTGAGGGCATGCCAGACGGGAAGCACAGGGCGAGCAGGGGACATGAAGCGTAAAAGTGAAAGTCACTCTGGAAAACAGGCTTCAAGATGAATCCCCAGAACATTAGAGAGAGAGAAAGACGAATTGAGACAGTTTTTGAAATTTATTCCCCACCCCATACATTTCAATTATAAAAATTTTTTAATTTACTGTTTTGAGAGAGAGAAAACCATGGATTTGCTGTTCCACCTATTCATGCATCATTGGTCGCTTCTTGTGTGTGCCCTGACTGGGGATCGAACCCACAACCTTGGCGTATCGGGACGACGCTCTAACCCACTGAGCTACCCAGCCAGGGCCTGCCTCCCTTTCTACCATCCACCTTTCAACAAGCATTTTGAGATGTATGAATAAAGTAGAAAGAAACGGACACAGCCTCAAAAGATAATGCGACCAAGGAAGCCAGGCAAGCAGGACATTTTCAGATTAGAAATTCTAAAGAACTAAGATGAATATGTTAATGGGTAATTTGGGCAGAAATACAGAAACCATGGGGCATAATCAAATGCAAATACTAGAAATGGAAAACATACAAGCAAAGGTGAAAAATGCCTTCGATGGTCTCACCAGTAGACTTGACAAATCTGAGAAAGTAAGAAAACACCAAGCGGAGTAATGGCAAAAAACCCAAACTAAGCCCAAACTATCATATTCAAACTGCTGAAAAACAAAGACAGAGAAATTGTCTTCAGCATCCAGGAAACACTAGCAGGTTACATCCAGAGGAACAAAGGGGAAATTACGGCAGACTTCTTGCCAGACCGATAGAGGCAAAAGATGATGGAGAGACGTCTTTGGAAAGAAAAACATGTCAATATAAAATTCTATACCCATCAAAAAGTACATTTCAAAAATAAGGGGGACCCAGCAATTCCACAACTAGGAATATGTACAAAATATTTGAAAACAGGAATTCAAACAAATCCATAAACACACATGATCATAGCAGCACCACCTCACAAGAGTAAAAAGGTAGAACCAACCCAAACGACCATCAACGCATAAATGGATACACAAAATTTGATATATCTACACAAAAGTACAGGCAACAAAAGCAAAAATGGACAAACAGAATTCCTTTATATAACCCCCGTTTTTCCCAAAGGGAGCAACATTTGCAGAGGTCCCATGGTGGTGTAGTGTGAACTTCGGAATCTGAAAGTTTCTCGGGTCCACATGACCCCATTGCCCGTTGCTCTGCTTTGGTTTCCTCTGTGGGAGGGAGGCTGACATACTACCCGGAGTTGTACTGTGTCAACTTTCCGTTGTCCCCTCACCCTGGGGTGAACGTATCCAAGCTCAGTTCCTGCATTTACTCCCCACATTCTGAGTGCTGGTTACAGAGGTGCTGAGCCAGACATGGATAAAACTCTGCATGGCAACCAGCCCCACCGTCTGACGTAGAAGTGAGATTCACAGGAAATGCAAAAAGTCGATATTCTCTCTTTCCAGAAACTAAGGTTTACCGAGCACCAAAATGGACAAGCACTGTGCCATCTCAAAGAACCCCGGAAAAAGCCTCACGGTGGGTGGGCTTCCCACCCCACCCCACTTCTCCTTTCCCTGCTGCTCCCTTTCCAATGCAAAGGGCATCTAAGTGGGTTTCATGGATTACAATGTTCTAGCAGCCTTGGCCGGTGTGGCTCAGTGGTTAGAGTATCGGCCCTGAGGACTGAAGGGTCACAGGTTCGATTCCCAGTCAAGGGCATGCATCTGGGTTGCAGGTTCGATCCCCGGCCCACGTGAGGGAGACAACCAATCGAAGTGTGTGTCTCTCTCTCCCTCCCTCCCTTCCACTGTCTCTAAAAGTCAATGGAAAAGGGAGGATTAGAAAAAATAAAAAATAGAAGGTCTAACCAGTTAGGGGGTGAAATTTCTCACCTGCAGTGAGGCTACACCACCCTCCTGGGCAGTCTGCCCACCCCCTAGCCCCATCTCCCATGCAAGCCACGGATCCCCACTGGAGCCAGCCCTTCCTCTCTGGGGTTTTTCTGGAGCCGTCCACGGTCCACACCTTCCCTACACTGCAGCTGCTACAGCTGAGTTAGAAGCTCTGGGTTTTCACAACCCTGCACCCCTAAGATCCCCTGCACCCTTTCATTGCACACTGGGCTACAATCGCCCTGGTNATAATAGCCCTGGAGTCTGCTTGTCTCACCATCAGAGCGCATGCCCCAGCATGCCAAAGAAAGGGCCTGATTTATCTCTGAGTCCCCAGCGGCCCAATAAAACCAGGCTGGTTGCCGGACCCATGTGTCTCAGTGGTCGAGCACAGTCCCATGCACCAGGAGGTCTCCAGTCCGATTCCTGGTCAGGGCACAGCCTGGATTGCGGGTTTGATCTCCATGCAGGAGGCAGCTGNTTTTAACATATCTTTATTGATTTTAGAGAGAGGAAAGGAGAGGGAGAGAGAGAGATAGAAACATCAATGACGAGAGAATCATTGATCGGCTGCAGCCCGCAACCCGGGCTTGTACCCTGACCGGGAATCAAACCCCGATCTCCTGGATCCTAGGTCGATGCTCAACCGCTGAGCCACGCCCGGCCAGGCCTCTTTCTAAAAATCAATAAAAACATATTTTAAAAGTAAAAATAATAATAATAATAAAACCAGGCTGTTTTCCCTGAATTAAGACAGCAAGGACTAGAGGCTGGAGAGGAGGGAAGAGGGGGAAAGAGGTGCCCTGTGTGGGCCCAGGGATGCGGCCTAGTGTTGGGGGGTCCAGGGCGGTTCTCAGAGGAGGCGCGTCCAGAGCATGTGGCTGTCTGGTGTCTGCAGGTTTGCCTGCTCCTGGGCGGTTTACAAAACTGGAAATCTCATTTTTACAATCACTGACAACGCGGATCTATCTCATTTATCCAACCAGCTCTGAACGGAGTGGAACGGGGATGCAACTAACTGAGGGATTCGCGAGGCCTCAGGCCAACGGGGTCCTGCCACTCAGAGCTGGCATCTCACACTGCGAGACAGTTTTGAAATCGGACCAGAAATTCATCACCTGTGTGGCTCAGTTAGGCTTTAAAATATGAGGCTGATAGGAAATTAGCTGTGTGCCATCTTAGGGGTGTTCAGTAAGCTACTGCTGAGATCTGACAACGATAATGTTATCTTTTCTCTTCAGGGGTGTTTGGGATGAGTCGCAAACGGGGAGCCGGCCAAGGAGCCTGTGAAAACAGCCGTCTGCCATTTACAGAATAATTACAGATGTATCTTAGCTGGCGATTTTCCCCTGTCACGATGTTCAGGGTTTGGTTTAAAAAAAAAAAGATAGCAATTCTTCCTCCAGGGGCTGTGTTTATTACTGACGTCGCTTCTATGAGATTTTTTTAGCTGGGAAGCTTTGTTCACAGGCCTGTATTTGTTTTTGTTTTTTTAATCTTCACCCAAGGAGTGAGGATATTTTTTCCATTGATTTTTAGAGAGAGCGGAAGGGGCGGGGAAGGAGAGAAGAGAGAGGAGAGAGAGACACATCGACGGGTCGCCTCCCACACAAACCGCAATGGGGGCGGGAATCGAACCCACGACCCTCTGGTGTGCAGACCGACGCTCTAACCACTGAGCCACACCAGCCAGGGCAGGCTGTTTTAATTCCTGTGTGGGTACAATCACAGGTCACCTCACCGCCATGTCACATACTCCTCCAGGCTCCTCGGCTCATTCATTCATTCACCCCGCGGGCTCCCGTCTTCGCCCAAACCCAGAGTTCCTCCAGATACGGGGCGAGAAATGAGACCGGCTGCAAACCATCAAGGACTAGGCCAGCCGCAGGCTGGGTGGGGGGCGAGCCCGCATCTGCCCTCCGGACAGACCCTCCCGCACCCTCCTGTGCCTGTGCCCTCTGACCCCCGTTACTCCACCGCAAAGGCCGCGGGTCCCTGCACAGATACACCTCCCGCTGGCCCACGATGGTTTCACCCCACGAAGGGAAAGCCCTAGACCACGCCTGTGCAGACAGGAGTTTCATGAAACCCAGGCGGCCGGAAGGCAGAGGCGGGAAGAGCAGAGGTAACAGAATCTGTGGGTTTCCCGATCATTCTGCAGGACGCACGGGCCAGAGCAAGAGGGGGCCCTGTGACGGAGCAGCCTGGCCTGCACAGAGTGTCATTCAGTCTGAAAACCAGGGACCCGCTGCCGTATGCTACAATGCGGTGAACCTTGAGGACGTGATGCTGAGTGACAAGCTGGAGCAAGGCCGGGGCTCAGTGAAAGCCAGATGTTGCTCGTATTAGAAGCATCTTCAAGTTGGAGTTAGGTAGCATTGAGCTTTAAAATGACAAAGGGAGCCCAGCCGGGTGTGGCTCAGCGGTTGAGTGTTGACCTAGGATCCAGGCGATCGGGGTTCAATTCCCAGTCAGGGCACAGGCCCGGGTTGCGGACTCGATTCCCAGTCGGGGGCGCGCAGGAGGCAGCCGATCAATGTCTCTTTCATTATTGATGTTTCTATCTCTCTCTCTCCCTCTCCCTTCCTCTCTCTGAAATCAAAAAAGATTTTTTTTTTTTAAATGACAAAGGGTGATATTTAGTGTTTAAGGATCTATACGCCAAGACTTCCACAGGAGAAGACGGCCCCCTGACATCCTAAGCGTGTGGGAAATGGAAGTGGAAGTGGGATAAATTTCCCACCGTGTGATTTCAGGCTCCACGGGGCCGTCCCCGACCCAGAGCTGGGAGTGATCGGGGGGCGCGTTGCCACGTCTCTACCATGCAGATAAAATGAACATAATCTCAAGGACACAGATAACAGCGAAATGTAGCCAAATAATTAGGAAGTGATGCATTTCAACTATTTGTCACTTTTGTTCTGATATATTTTCTTTAATGGTAAGTTTACATAATTTAATTTTTAATAATGACCGTTGGTGGCAAAGATCCTAAATGTTTAGCAACCAGCTCTCACCCACACTGGGTAAACCTACGCCACTCCCACCCCCACCCCCCTTTTTTTTTTAATCTTCACCTGAGGGTATTTTTTATTGATTTTTAGAAAGAATGGAAGGGAGGGAGAGAGGGGGAGAGAGAGAGAGAAACATCGATTGCCTCCCGCGCAGGCCTGACCGGGGCTGCAGATCGAACCTGCAAACCAGGTACGTTCCCTTGATCGGAATCGAACCCGCGACCCTTCGGTGCGCAGGCAGATGCTCCAACCAGGGAGCAACACCACCCAGGGCTGTTATGTTTAGTGCTTGAATGGGTAACATTTGGAAAAAGATTTATGTGCAGCTGGTGACCGATGTTTATCAGAATAAGAGGGGACCAGCTTCACGAAGAGAGACCGAGACAGAGCAGCTGAAGAGTGTGACCCTGGAGGGACAGAAGTGACCGACGACGGAGTGATCAGAAAACAAAGGAGCTCCAAGAAATGTCCCACACATCCCCTCGGGGGACCAGAGAGTCCCAGACCGGCCACCCTAGAGCCCTTCCGGACTGGCCCAGGTGTGATGGGAGTTTACTGGGGGTGGCAGCCTGGTGCGGGGACAGGAGGGCGAGATCACGCGCGGAAGTGTGTGCAGGTGCCACGCACATTTCGGGGACAGGGCTGCAGACGTCCTGCCACCAAAGGGCACGAGCAAAAGGCACCTTCGGCCACGGCTGGTGGAGCCCAGTGGTTAGAGCCTCGGCCTGCACACCAAGGGGTTGAGGGTTCGATTCCAGTCAAGGGCACAGACCTGAGTTGTAGGTTTGATCTCTGACTCATGAGTGCAGGAGGCAACCAATCGATGTGTCTCCCTCACATCCATGCTTCTCTCTCCTCCCTCCCTCCCTCCCTTCCACTCTCTCTAAAAATCAATGGAAGCCCGGCTGGCGTGGCTCAGCGGTTGAGCGTCGACCTAGGATCCAGGCGATCAGGGTTCGATTCCCGGTCAGGGCACAGGCCCGGGTTGCGGGCTCGATCAGTGACTCTCTCATCATTGATGTTTCTGTCTCTCTCTCTCCCTCTCCCCCTTTCACTCTCTGAAATCAATAAAGATATATTTTTTAAAAATAAATAAATAATAAATAAATAAATAAAAATCAATGGAAAAAATATCCTCAGGTAAGGATTAATTTTTTAAAAAAAGGAAATCTCACCTTTCACAACAGCAGGGATGGACACAGAGCGTAACGTGAAATAAGCCAGCCAGAGAGAAACAAACACCATAGGATTTCACTGATATGTGGGATCTAATGAACAAAATAAATGATCACACAAAATAGAAACAAAACAGGCTCATAGGTACCGAGAACAGACTGACAGCTGTCAGGGAGAGGGTGGCGGGAAGGGTGAAAAAGGGGACAAGATTAAGCAAAAAAACAAAACCAAAAAAACCTCATAGACACAAACAACAGCACTGCGATTGCCAGAGGGAAGGGGGGAGTGGGGCAGATAGAGGGGGGCACGGGGGATCGAGGGTGACGGAAGGGGACCCGACTCGTACCGTGGACAGATGCTGTATCACAGAACCGGACGCCCGAAACCTGTATCATTTTATTAACCAGTGTCACCCCAATAAATTCAGTAAAATTTAAAGAGGATAAGGCTGCAGCCTTAAGGAATCCCTCCTAGAAGCTGCCTCCCCGAGAAGAAGCCAGAAGCCAGATGGGCCCTGAGACAAAGAGCAGACCAGCTGCGCGGGCCGGATCTGCATCACAATCGGACCGCGAGAAAACCAAACAGGGTTTTTCATTAACCGAGAGCCTCTTAATAAGCCGCGTTGAACAACATGATTATTTCTCAGTCCCCGGCAAGTGGAAGCCGCGGTCCCCGCAGTTGTCAGGGAAACACTCCGGCGACGACACCCTGGGCACCTGCAGGGAGGGACCCAGCGGAGCGGGAGGTGGAGGGGCCCCCGGGGCTGGGCGACGACATTCACTCGGCGCTCAACACGCATTGAGCACCTACTGCGTGCGGGCGCAGGCCCGCCCTGGGGCTCTACGGGGAGCACCTGGGCTCCCTGTTCTGGGCGTTTCTCCGCAGCTGGGGGACAGAGATGACGGACGACGCAGGTGCTGTGAGGTGGGACCGGAAAAGGGAACACAGCCCGGGCAGGGGCAGGGCTGCGAGGGGGCTGGTGTCCTGGCCTCCGTGATAAGAGGCCACACTGTGAGCAGAGACCTGGGGAAAGGCAGGCGCCACCTGCCTGATGCTGGACAAGAGTCTCACAGAGCCCGGCCGGTGTGGCTCAGCGGTTGAGCGTCAACCTAGGATCCAGGAGATCGGGGTTCGATTCCCGGTCAGGGCACAGGCCCGGGTTGCGGGCTCAATCCCCAGTCCGGGGCCTGCAGAAGGCAGCCGATCGATGACTCTCTCATCATAGATGTTTCTCTCTCTCCCTCTCCTTCCTCTCTCTGAAATCAATAAAGATATATTTAAAAAAAAAAAAAAAAAGAGTCTCACAGAAAGGGAGCAGCAGGGACAAGGACCCTGGGGCAGCAGTGGGCTCAGAACATTCCAAAAGCAGCCCTGGCTGGGTGTCTAAGTGGTTAGAGCATCGACAACCTGACACACCGAGGTTGTGAGTTCGATCTCTGGTCAGGGCACACACAAGAAGCAGCCAATAAATGCGTAACTAAGTGTAACAACAACTCAATGTCTCTCTCTCACACACACATACAACACCAAAAGTATTTAAAAATGGGAGAGGGAGAGGGACAGAAACATCGATGGGCTGCCTCCTGCACGGCCCCTACTGGAGATCCAGCCCAAAACCCAAATGTGTGCTCTGACCGGGAACCAAACCGGCAACCTTTTGGTGACCAGGACAACACCCAACGAACTGAGCACCCCCGACGGGGCTGAGCTTGCATTCTAACAAGATGCTCAGACATTAAACTACTCACTGCACAGATGGTTTTTTAGACCCGTTGTCAAGGCCAGGAAGCAGCACCTGGCAGGGAAGTCCTGCCCGGGAGGTGTGGTCAGGACTGGGAGGAGTTAGCCAGCTGTGTGTGAGAGCCCGGAGGACTGCCTGGGGGAGGCGGCGCACCGGCAAGGTCAGTGGAGGGGGTTCCTTCTGGGACCAGAGCTCCAGGAGGCGGGGCGCAGGGCACCTGAGGACTTGCCCCTCCACGCTGGGCTAGAACAGGTTACCGGGTCAGACGTGATACTTAATCCAACGCAAAGCAGCTTTTAAAATTGTCATTTTGAAAATAGTGTGAACACAGTGAGTGGCGGGAGTGGAAGGGAGGGAGGGAAGGAGGAAGGGGGTGAGAGAGAGGAGATAAAACATCGATGTGAGAGACACACATCAATTGGTTGCCTCTCGCATGCTCCCCGACTGGGGCTGGAGATTGAACCTGCAACCCAGGTACATGCCCTTGACCGGGAATTGAACCTGTGACCCTTCGGTGGGCCGGCCGACACTACCCACTGGGCCGCTAGGGCCCCTCGGCCCTCTTTCTGCCTCCAATGAACCTCCTCTCAGCCATGCAGGCCCTTCTCTGTACCCCGACTCCCCAGGCTTCCTCACTTGCTTGGGGAGACTCCCTCTCTGGATAAAGCTGGATCTCACTGCTGGGCCATTTCATTTGCTTTGGGAACAACGCGCCCTCCCCGCCCCCCGGGGTCTGTGGCTTCCCATGTCGGTAGAACTGTTGTAACTCAAAAAGTTATCGACTTCTGAAGCTTAGGATACTCGGCTCTATTGATTTATTTTTTTCAATTTAAAAGTCAATCAAGAAAAGAAAATGGCTTTGTGTTGTCTGAGTCTTAGAGGTGCTGTGACAAAGGCTCGTCTCCCTCTGTAGGGGACGGGACGGCCGCGTCTGCGGTTGACGGTGCGCGTGTCACTTTAGCAAGAGGATGGAGTTGCTTTGTCGTTAGGACCGTGGGCCTGTTTCCTCGCCTGCAAATGAAGCTACTAAGACCTGGCCATCCAGGTGAGCAAATTCGAAAGGGCCCCAGATGAGAGCCTGACCCATGCTGACCTTGTGGCCAGAGGGTCTGGTGGTAATTAAATAGGACCAGGGTCACTTTAGTCTTATTTCAAATCACTTTATAAAAATAATCTCACCCAANTTGTGGCCAGAGGGTCTGGTGGTAATTAAATAGGACCAGGGTCACTTTAGTCTTATTTCAAATCACTTTATAAAAATAATCTCACCCGACTGGGCGTGGCTCCGCGGTTAAGTGTTGACCTGGGATCCAGGCGATCGGGGTTCGATTCCCGGTCAGGTCACAGGCCCGGGTTGTGGGCT